AGTTGTCGTAATCGACCACTTCTAATCGAATAATCGGAATGCTCATGGACTTTCTCTGCGGCTATTCGAAATTTCGCCATTACTGCATCAAACCACAAACCTTGCAAATTTTGAAAACCAATATTGAAGTAGAAATCGCCAAATTTGAAGCGAGATGTTTTGCGAGCCAAAACACAAAATGCTGTAAAATGGCAACTTTTGTGCATCAACTGAGGAGAGGGCATTTGACAAACTTCCACTTGACTTCAACTTGGCATAAACTTCCCGTGATAACAAAACCAAGTTTTTCGTTTGTCACAAAATGGGAGCCAAGTCACATTACGACATTACTTTGCCCTAACTAGTATTATAAGAACCCGAATCGTGATCAGACATTAGATCATAACACATACCGGAAGAAAGTGTGTTGATTTTCAAAAGTTTTACTCTGCAATGAAAAAGAGAAAGAAAATCTGGAAATTTAGTAAAACACAAATAAAGAAATATATAGATTTTTTACGTCGTGACAGGCAACTGCGACATTAAAATCATATAACTGGCAAGTGCTTATTACTAATAGTATTGCTTATTAACACCCATTGCAGGATTAAAAATTTAAATAACAATTCGGTAAGTTTTATATAGCTCATTGTAACATAAATACACAAATTTAGGCAGAACTCAACAACTGCAGATTTGATAACTTTGAGATCGTTTATTAGCTTCATGCATATGTTGGAAGTTTCTTAGTTGAACTAGCAAATATTTTAAGAAAAACACATTACAATATCAAAGAAGTATTGAAAGATGTACATTAAACTGCCACTCATCCAATATATCACAATAAAGTCATATTTTTATATTTATTACATTTCATATGAGATTGAAAAACAGTTATTTTAACTCTTAATCATAGATAGCCAGTGAGTAATCACATTTTAGTACATTTCTTTTATCAAATGGCAACATACATTTTAAGGTAAAATTCTGCTTATAACCTTTTCCTGAACTGTTCAATTTCTGCACTTCGTCATATGTTGCATCTACTCCTCCATGATCATCAAATCATTTTGATAGCTTATCACTGCATCAAGATTTTTTGAAAAGACGCAAAATGGCGACACATTTACCTTAAACCTTTCTATATTTATAACAAGACAATTTGCCGAGAAAGCCATTGAATAGGTACAACAAAATAACGAACATGTGTAGTTGACCCCACAAAAGCATTTGATGGAGTAATGATAATTACTAATTCGTTGTAATTCGATGTTGTGGGACTCCTTGAAAAAAGAAAAGTACGTCCTGGTACAATAAATATTAATGTGGAGCTGAACACCATTAACTAGAATAAGTGTAACTAGAATAAGAATATTGAATATAGTAACACGGAGAGTACCCATACAACATTTTGGTGTCAGAAACAAAATCAATAACAATAGCAAAGTAGCCACGTCGTTGCAAATTGGCAGTATACTACAATCCTACAGAACAGCTGATTAGTTTTAAATATCTTGTCGTCAATATTATGAACAGCAAGAACGTCCAAGAAGTTACACCTCAAACGACGAAAGGAGTTTATACGAAATAAGTGTATGTCCCTAGAAAACAAAGTCCGCAGATATTATATAATGTATGATCTCTGTATATGACGTGTTGTGACATAAGCGACAGAGGAAAGAACACAAAATGCTACCACAAAGAGTTCTCAACAGCGGAGATGAAGATATGAAGGCTATTAACAGGATACACCTTGTGAGACCATAAGAAAAATGAGAATATCAGAGATAACCATATCCAGGACATTGTGAAATGGGTCCAAAAGAAGACGGAAATGTTGAAAGTATATAATGCTCAAGACTACCAAGGATCGTCAAAGATGGATTTCCAAGAGCAAACTGCCCTCAAAAACATTTGGTTGTTTTATGGATATCATCGCTTGTAATTAACTGTTGTGGAGTATTTCAACATAGGAATTTAAAGCTAGCATCATCCAATTGACGCAAGGTTGTGTCATTAAAATATTATAGATGCTACCAACAGATACTATAGACCTCTTATAGGAGTCTCTAAAATCGTCGATAGTCAACGAAAACCAAATTTAAATCCATCTGATGAATTAGTCAACTTAAGAGCCGACGAAGCAAGCATAGAATAAAAACTATTGGTATGAAATCTACCATCAGCGATCTATTACTGCTAAGAATAGAATATACGAACTGCTCAATATGTGTCAATAATGGATTAAAGGGACCTGCATCTAGTTCCTCTCTTCGAAGAAACTAGAAGAGTGATTTCGATGAAAAACCCCGTTCTCTACTAAAATCATCGAAACCTCAGCTGCAGATAGCAGATGATTAAACCTCTTTTTCGACATCCTACACTGAAGTCAACGACAACGATCAATAGTGGGTTATTATTAATTACTTTTAAAAATTAATGGGTGTTCATTGTGGTAACTTTAAGAAATGCATAAAATTCTGAAAACTTTTATTTCGACGAACATCCGTTTAACTTCATTAAAACAAGAGCTTGTTTAAATTTATAATTGTTTTATAATGTAAAACTTCCACAGTAAAAAAAGGCATCGACCTAAATTCAAAATAACTATTTTCATTATTTTAGAACTGCTGTGGTAATTTTTGTGGTAGTTTTATAAGCTGAAATGATAATTATAAACCTATCTGAAAACAATTAGTTATACCACACATTTATGCTCCTTTATTCAACTTCATTATTACTTCATCGTCTTTTATTAAATTTTACTAATGTATTAATTAAGTTATAACAATAACTGGCAGACGTATTCTAAAGTTGTGTATCAAACGATATTTCTGATCTTATAAACGATAAGCCTTATATTCTATAATACCATTAGATAAGAAGTTAATAAGTTGATACAGCTAAATAGCAAAGTTTGCCGAGCAAAACATGTTCCATCATATTTCCATAATGTATTAGCCCTTGCTTGTGTGTTTATAGCGACAATATTACAAAATTTTAGACAGAAATTAAGCGTAATATAATATTGTTTACGCGCTTCCGACCTCTCGACTAACATGCGACTATGGCGTTTTATTTGCGCGTGGGGGGGACTGAAACGAAATTAAAACATTCCACGGTTCGGTCGTTGTGCCCGGGTGCCCGGAGGGATATTAAACTGATATGAGTAAGCGATACTATGTCTGTGCTCGTTTGCAACCCCTGCGTCAGACCGCGTGTACCCCACGTATATGTATATCTACAGTAAATATATGGTGTATTATGGCACGTGCTCAGTCATATGCTATCGTCCACTATCCCCTTTCCACGATAGCCTAAAGGATTGTCGTGTCTACGATTTGGCCGGAAAACGTATGAATGTCGTTCAAAGGAAACCATATGGGGTGCGTGAACGACCTCAACATTCTACAAGCATTTCCCACAAGAATTATTTAGTGACACCCTGTAAATGCAGACGCGATATAATACTTTTATTTCTATCAGCTATAAATTAAAAAGATTAAATTTGATCAAACTCTTGTCAAACCCCATTTTTGCAAACCCCACCTTCCCAAAGTGCAGCGGTCAATTATTATCCAAGTTTACAGGAAGTGACTTTAATTTAGTCCGTTGAAGTAGAGGTCAAGTGTCATTATGCGCGAGAACCTTCATCCCAAAATCGAGTTAGAAAGTGAATTGGCTCTAAGGAGCGAAACCAGGTCGTTGCGACGCGCCCCAAACGTGAGAGCTTCGATGGTTTCGCGAAGTGGGGCTTAATTGGGACTCGTCGCTCCTGTTCCGGTTCTCGTTCCATAGGCTTGTCGTAGTAGAGAATAGGGACCAAAACCGAAACCCAAATCCACTCTCGGTGCCCAAAACTCAGTTCAGCCTGGGGGCGGAGTGATGTGTGTGGATTGCAATAATAATTCAGCGACGTCGGCATTGCAGAATGCAGTCGTTGCGGACGTCCGTGTGCGTCTGCTGAAGCGATTGCAGCGTGGTGCCGTAGGTAGGTGGGGGGAAATGGCACTAGCTGTTGCGTTGTGTTGCCAATATTTTAACGCGAGATCGTAAAATGACAAGTAAGTACGTTAATGTTGAACGACGTAATGTTTACCCTGCAAATATACAGACACACATAGTTGTGAGTCATCTACAGTATGACACTAAAAGTTTTTGTTTACCATTAATAATTATTTTAATCATACTTTTCTAAGGCAATTATACCTAATCTATTTAGTTTTATATTTCACGTCTAATATTCATCGAATCGATAAAGTACACAGTCCATTCGATGAAGGTCTTAATACCATAAAAATAACGCTATAGTGATAACGTTTCCTTATTACTCAATAAAACGATCGTTTGATAGGCTATGCTTGTACATGAGGCCTTGTACGTGATAGCCAATGAATCGTATATGTGCACTACAGACTGATTACATCAACTCCGACGTTGGCCAAGTACTTATAAAGATTAATGACGTTTAAAGGAGAGATGTTTAACAGTTTACGAACTTCGTTAATTTTATGACGTTAACCTCATTCCAAAGATTCATAGATAAATTTAGCAAATATAATGGTATATGTTCACTTGTTCTTTAGGTTTATACCAACATGCAAAAAAAATTGCATGATATCGTTATCTAAATATAAATTAAAAAAAAGAAATGAAAAAGATAAAATGAATCGTTCGGCAATGCCAATTAAAGAGTAACGGACGAAATGAAAAATCCGAACGACTTCGACAGTGGCGGGTGTTAAAATTAAAGTGTTAGACCGAGCGCTTTACCAGTTGAAAACAAGAGGGCGCTTCACGCCCAACTTTTGCCGAAATGTAAATCGCCACGAGGGAACTTCAAGTCCCGTTCGCAAATATTTGACGACCACTGTACACCGAACTACATTCAATTAGACACCCTCGTCATCCCTCACCTCCGCCGTCTCTAACGCCGCCGAGACCGCCTCCGACGCTGCAACCCTCCACTGCAATTAGTACGACTCGAGTTGTTGCATCCCTAGCAACGTGCATACACGCGCATACATCATGCATCAACCGCAAGGTTGAGCCAGCACGCGACAAAGATAGGTTGTCGCATTCGAAGAGAGAAGGGTGTATGGTTTGGTAACAGGTGTCGGTGGCCGATCGATCGACCACGAGGACGACGCGCATGCTCTGAAAGAGGGGATGGTTCGCTTCCCCGCCCGTTCTCGGCGTCGGGACGCAAGTCCTCGCTCGTTACGACGGCCAAGGGAGTGGTGATCCAGACGGTAAACTGTGTTAGAACTTGAGTTTTTCGCGTGTGACATTTAACCTGAGTGACGAAAAACAAAAGAAGGAGAACCAATTATTAAACACCAAAACCAACCCCCGGACCCGAACGACAAACAACGGACCGTCGATACGCCGAAATTACCCGAAGGAGAGAACAACCGTACGAGTACTAGCTTGAAGCCAAAAGAACCAAACAACCGAAACCGTCCAAAACCAAATTTTGCTAGATACGACTTAAAAACCATGCGAATCGTACGTCACGCATGACGCCATGGTCCTTTCGGCCAGTTCGTTACCTGTTGGGCCACACTCCTCATCGCTACTTGTTGCATGAACCTCTCGGCCGTGTGATGGCGTAGTGGTGAAAGCTCAACCACCTGCTTCCTTCAAACGTTGAAACCTCGACCTCGTTAACATTATTGAAAAACGATAGCCATGCCGCGCTGCTACATGATGAAGAAGAAAGCCTCCAAGTACCAAACCATGATCGGGAAAGAATCCTCCAAGACAAAAGCTATACACGAACACTACCCGATCGAAAAGCATTCTCACGTAGTTTACACTCCGCTTACCAGTCGCCCAAGTAAGTATTCCATTGGACGTGTTTTAATCTGTTGTTTTGACATCGGTCGGCTACCCGTGACGATAACCCGAATTGAACAAACAGATCGATGCTCTTAAAATATTATCGCGGTGAATCAGATCGCTAGGGTTTACGACCACCTCGTCTACCTACTTTTCACCGGTCCTGTTTAATGGTTAAAACTTGTTGAATATTTACATCTACTTCATATAATAGTAAATTTTATATCTATTGATCAATTTTTATAAACAAAATAAAATACTAGCAGCTGTTATTGACACAATGTTTTTATTACCCAACAGATAATGCTTTTATCTATAAATTCTTTTCAGTCACGTTCTCATTTATTTTAACAGTGATAAATTTTCATATTTGTAGTGCTTCATAATCCCCTCGACCTTCATTGAAACCATCGATATCTCTCTTAGGGGGTCAGATTAGTTATTTTTTCCTCTATTTTTATATCCATAGAAATATAATTTTTTATTAACAAATCATAAGATATAAAATAGTTATTTCTATATGGATAAACACATAATGAAGAAATTCCAGACATATCAAAAATTCCCTTATATGTATACAAATATAATATTAAAAAAATTACAGTGCTACAATTATAATTTATCAATAATGTTGTAAATTTGGAGATTCACTGACGTTTTAAAGTTGACATAACATCACAATAAATTTAATTGGAATTTGGTTCCAATCCGTTAATTTCTAACTCTATGGACGTTATTATTTCAATTGATAATGGTTGTTGATCTTTCAAACCGCTACTTTTGTCAAGTTCGAAATCATGCATGGTCATGATTTTATAAAATGAATATTTTATAAATTTCTTTTTTTTAAGTTCAAACAATTCCAAATTACTATAAAGTATTTTGGTGATTTCTTTAACACCAGGATAGTACATCACAAAGATGTTTCTATTGGCTGTATACAGGTGTTTCAAAATATATGCGCAGGACTTCAGGATGTGATAGCTTGTCAAAAAATTCGAAAAAAGTTTCTATCAACTTACCCCCTAAAATGCACCATTTTCGAGATACAGGGTGTTGAAATTTATAAACAAAATCGTTTTTTGCGAATATCTCCGCAACCGTTTACCGTACAGAAAACAGTGTTTGTAAGTATTTTCTTCTCATAATAAGCTAAGTTTTGTGCAAGAAAAATTTTTTTAAAGTCATAATTGGTGAAGATTTTGAATGGGTAGTGGTTGTTTTTCTCCCCAACTTCTACGCCGTTGAACCGTCAAAGTTTTCTACATAAAAAAGTTACTGTAAGGCTCTAAAGTTGAGCGTTTTCTAGAAAAATCAACTTTTATGTTGAAAAACATGGTCAATTTTCTGAAATAAAAATTTTATTTTACTAAAACGTTAGAACAAGTAACAAAAGCAAACGTTAACTTCATTATTGCATAATTAAAAACAACAATTACAAATCATACATATTTAAATTAAATGTTGGAAATTCGCAAAAAACTATATTCTTTAATTAAATTTCAACACCCTGTATCTCGAAAATGGTGCATTTTAGAGGGTAAGTTGATAGAAACTTTTTTTCAAATTTTTGGACAAGCTATCACATTAGTAACACTGCTTCAGGATGGGTCGATGCATTACCAAATGTCAGATATCCTTGCACCCAATACTTGTACTTCATGTGGCTTTTTAAACCTGGGTTTTTTAACTATTCACCAATATTGAACTGAATTAGCACTCATAAAATTAAAACCTCCTCTCTTTTTTCTTACATTAATTGAGCATCGCTATTGCATTTCTGCGACATTTAGATAATTTTATTTTTTATGTAAATTATAGCAACGTTCGTATAGCTAAATATTGGCATATGATCTGCCTTATATAATGAATTTTAAACTTGTTTCCGTTCTTTCCTATGTTTACATTCCTATGTTATTTGATGACGATTTGTTTCTTGCATGTTAATTCTGTTCTTTGACTCAGCTTTGACTTCCTTGCATATTTTTGGTTCCATACAATTGCATTGATACATGTTTGGAGTTATTGCATGTTGATTACAATCCGAAATATATTTTGTCAAGATTGCAGTAATGAGAAATTTGCATGGAAAATTAGATCTTTTTACTTAAATCTTGTATGTTGATATTCGTGTCTTAGCGCTTCACACCCATCCTGATATTTCTACAAGAATTCCTCGTTTTGATACTCCTTTAGTTTAGGTTATAATATACCTTGTTTCATTTCTTACAAAGGTGTTAAAAGCTAGATTGAATATAACCCAATTCTGAGACTTACAGTAGTTTTTAATAACAAAACGTTATATCTGTATGTTTTACTAAACAATCTATTTAAGTGGTAGTCAATAAAATTTTTAATCAAACGTAATACCCAAATCAGAAGCAATACTATCTCTTTTAAAATCTTTATGCTTAGAATTGTGTAGCTGTTCATTTTAAACTAGTTAATTTGTAATAGTTTCTTCATAGCAATTTGAATAGCCTATTGCAACTATTGCATATGGTCCTCAAGAGAAATGAGAATTGGAAGCTGAACTGAACAAAACTGCATCCAACAAATATCCTACGCTACATAGGCAGGATTTCTCATAATTTGTGCACAAGACTATTTTCTCGGCCATCAACCTGGTAAGAGCATACTACTAAATTTCTAGTTATAAACTACAAGGCTCGTAAGATAACACTACCCAAGAAACCGAACGCTTCCCATTAGGACGACTATGACAATAATGTCAGTCTGATGTCTCATGTTCCCATGATATTTCTGCGCATCATTCACACTCGTAAATATGCAAAATACGGGAGACAGAATCAAGACTGGGATAGAAGCTGCGGAAGTTAGGATAGGGAACACAACATCTAATGAAATAGAGATCGGTAGAGGCGTCAACCAGGGATACGTTCTATCTCCTCCTCTTTTTAATATTTACGCGGAAGCGATATTCCAGGAAGCACTAGTGAATGCTAAGGGGGGAATTAAGCTCAATGGAATCCTCGTGAATAACATACGTTTTACCGATGGCACTGCCGTGTTGGTCGCCAGTGCTTCACATCTCCAGAACATGGTAAACTTCTTCACCACACACAGTGCACAATACGGCTTACATATGAATACTGCTAAGACTGAAATGATCGTGCTCTTCTATTCACCAAAAAATATTTTGGAGCTCTTGTGAATGAAATAAGTGAACCTAAACAAGAAATCCTCTCACGAATGGAGCAGTCCAGAAGAATGTTTATCTCTGAAGACTTTCTACACAAATCGTAACTAAGTTTGCAGCTCCGTGTATATTCGCTACGTTATGTATTTCGCGTTCTTCTCTACCGAGAGTCGCGTCAACACGCTTGAGATATATCTATACCGTTGTAATGACTAGGTAGTCAAACAGATGGGCAAAGGCAAAGGACGGAAGCTTCAGTATGTTAGACAAATCATATGGGGGCAGCGCTACGAGATCTTCCGACTCATCATTAACGGAAAAATTGAAGGATAACGGTCAGTGGGAAACGACCAAATTCGTGTCTGAAAGATCTGCCCCGGTGGTTCGGACGTACATCTATTAAAACATTCATACAACATTCACGCACTATTAGAGCTAGTTGGATCCCCAACCGTCGTAAGGAGACAGAGGACTAAGAAGGAGGAAGATGCTTTGACCCAAGCAGTTTTGTTGATATATCCAGCTCCAATCGTTGGTAAAATGAAACAATAAATGAATGAATTTTTGCAGCTAGTTAGTACTATATCGTCGACACAAACGATCAATAAACACTAATTTAAGTAGAAAACTGAACGAATTATATTCATTTATTGACAATAATTCGGAGTTATATTGTTAGCATAAGAAAAATTCGGGCAATTGTTACCACGAGCACGAAATTAAATGCAAACACGAATCATGTACACAAATAAACGGTCCAGTTCAATAGAGTTAGAAGAACTTTTAACACAATTTGTTTTCTCCTACAAATTGCGTTTTAATCTTAGATTTTTAACGTTATTGCGATTGTAAATCGAATGATTTTTGATTGCATTGTTATTGTGACATTTTTAAGATAAACCCTTGAAATCCTTGAAAAGAAAATTAAATAAAGTAAATTTTTATTTTAGATAAGTTTAAAGAGTTATTACAATGTAAGAGCTGTGGGTATAAAGTTTAATCTATGACTCTATAGCATAAATCGTAAAAGTTTCACGTTTATCATAAATCAAAGTTATAACATTTGTAACTCATAGACAAAAACAAACTTGTTCAAAAGCGAGTTCGCTTGTCGCCGTATTTCCAATGCCAGCGAATTTATTCAGGGCGTCTGTATAGTTATCACCATTTTTTGATCTGTAAGATAGCCGGAGAACAATTAGATTAGTTTTTACTTTACAAGAATTAAGGAACAATATCGTTCGACAGATCCACATATTCATTATGAAATAGGTGGAACACGAATCAATAGAAACTCCTTCCTATCATTTCAACAATAATATTTGAGCGGATATCAATCGTGCTTACCAACTAGATGGCGACTTTGAGAGCAATCACTGGAAACATTCAATGAGATCGGAGAAAAATCAAGGAAATTCTGAAAAATGTAAGACGGAATATGTAGTAACGTAGATGTGCGCACACAGGAGACTCTGGAATGCGCACGTTTCAGGAATGGAGAGGAAGTGACTACCTGCCAAGGAATTCCAGAGATTACAGGCCAGCATCCAAAAGGCCGCCAGAACAACCTTATACAAAAATGATAAGATAGCTGGTCCCAAGAAATGCAGGTTGTACAGAATGAATAGAACAACCACTATGGCTTCCGCAAAGATGATGCAGACAATTTCATGGAATAAATCATGACAGAAAATATCCAAAGTTTTAAAGCTTTACTTTTGGTAATATGTGGACTTCATGTTAGATTTTGAAATACTCATTACTTTTCTTGATATTATTTGCTCCACATAGTGTCATACAGTTAATTCCAAACTTTGTCTTCTATTTGTATTTTGGAT